ATTCGAAAAAACATTTACATTTTATGAAATGTAATAATAAAAGAATGGTTTTAATTTGTAGAAAAGAGGAAAAAAATTAAGTAATTTAATTTCTAATTTAAATTATAACATTTATAAACTTCCCATGATGATTATTCTTCTTGCATCATTGCAATATACAGAGAATGATATACCGTAAAGTCTGGAAAGATAGCACCCCTTACTTTAAAACAATTGAGCGTCAATATAAAAAAAATGTTACACATATGTAAAAAGGAGATGCTATCTTTCCAGACTTTACGGTAATAATTCTTTATTCGTCTCGGGACAAAAATTTTTACACTTTTGATAATCCTATTTTATCATTATCATTATTGCTGCTTGTATCAAGCATTTTTACTTACGCCAAGTAGTTTTATTTACGTCAAGGGCTTTTACTTTAGTCAAATCGTCAAAATGGCCTAGTGGGAAACTACCTCTAGTCAATAATTTAGTTACGTCAATGTTGAATGATTTTAATATTGTTAATCACCAATAAAATAATTGAATCACGGAAAATATCTCAGACAACAGAGAAACAAATATTCTGATGTAACAGACCTTTAATTCTCAGATTAAATTCAAACGAAAGAATTTAAACTATTGGATCACTTTAGAAATAACTTGAAAATAATTCTACACAGAAAGTTCAAGTAATACATTTAATTAGGATAAATTAGGAATAATAAATAATATTGTCCTTATCTTTGTCCTTGTTGTTGACTTGAATATTGTATTTTCGTAATGATAATAAATCTATCCCTAACAATGAATCCATACCAAATCCCATGCATAATCATTTTTTCTCTTATTTTATATTTGTCCATTTTTTTTATTTCTTTTCTTTTCTTTTAGTGAGGTGATATTTAATGAATTTTATTTAGTAGTTTTGGGAACACATCTGACTTGATTATGGAATAACAGCTAAGTACAAGAAATTATTTAATGATAGTGAAAGATAGTTTTGAGAGTAAAAACATGTTGTTATGATTTAGTATAAATAAATGATATTAGATTAGTAAAAAAAGTAGTTAATTTTCAATTTTTTGAAATTAAAAAAATCCCACAATAATTTTTTAAAAAAACGAAGGAAACAATTTTTTTTGTTAACGGACAAGATTTTTTTCTTTATCTTTACCAAAAAAGTCATTCGTGACAAATTTCATACTTGTTCCTTCATTTGTTACACTAATATTGTCTGAAACATAGCCAATGGTAGTAACTGAAAAAGTATCTTGTGGTATTTTTTCAAATTTGATATCAAGTAAACATGCTTTAATGATGGTTAACTAAAATTATTATATAATATGTTAATAAAAAATAAGCATTTAGTATTTAAATATTATTAATGAATTCAAAAATTACAAAATTACATAAATGATCCCATTCTCAATATAAAATTTGGAACATGTCACAAAGAAAATCTCATCTCCGTTGATAATTTCTGGAACATATTTAGTATTAGAAATTGGCTGAAAGATTATAAACTCCAAATCAAAAAACTCTTCTAACTCTTCACCTGATACAATTTTATATTTTTCAGTAAATTTTTCCTTATAGTTAGTTATTGACAATAATAATACCAGTTAACTGACTAGGCATTTTTATTTTATTTTAAAAAAAAAATTTTTTAAACCCAATTTTTTTTTTCGTTATTTATTGTTTTATTTTACCTAACTTATGAGCTTGCATATTTTTTAAAAAAATAGAAACCAGTGTAAGCCATTTGTTAATACAAATAAAGAATAAATTAATTAAGAAAATAAAGATATTTATTACTAATAAAAAGAATTATTAACTTATAAAAAAATCATTAAATTTCCCACTTGCTAATGAAGAATTGTTAATTTCCCGCTTGCATAACAATAATTTTTTTAAACAAAAATTTACGAATGAAAAATGAAAAAACTGATTGATTTTTTGCAACCTGCATGCTATAATTAAAATATTTCTCAGATAATAACGTATAGTTAAAAAAAATATTGGCAGGAGAATTCATTAATTTTTCGAATTCAATTCTGAATCCAATTTAATTCCGAATCCAATTCAGAATTCTTATTCCATATTCATTAAAATTGAACCGCGTTTTTACATGAAGATCTACCTTGTTGATCATAAAAAATTACACAAATTTTGATATATGAGGCAAATGATAAACGTATTAACCCTTTTTATTGAAAAATTCGATAAATATGGAAAGTTACATGCATCAAAACTATTGGCCCGAAATTTATTATATGTTAAAAAAAGACAACAATTAGTAAAAGCCACGTTTTATTTATTTTAGTTAGGACTAACGTTGGGTAATTGATGAGCGTTAGTAACTTAATTTGCTTTAGTAAAGTATTGTCCAAAGGTTAATCAGAAATACTGACGGTGTATTATAAATGTAAACCTTTTAAACGGATTGTTTAAGTTGTTTTGTAAATAATCCAAAAGCGAGTTTGCAATCGGCCAGACAAGCGTAAACGGAATAAATCTGTCAAAAGTAAATAAAAAAGGAACATTATGGAAGCATTTGAGCTTTATAAGAGACATCTTTATTTGTTTATAGTTATCTGGTGCCATTAAGTGTGCTTACGGATTCGCTGAAGCTCTACCCGACATGTTGGAGGTAAGTACTGTTTTTTCGGATGATACATTATACATTTGCGAAAGGATGTCTTGAATCTTGGATAATTTTAACGTGGATTAATAATATTGAGATCACATAGAGTACAAGCAAAAAATACCAGATTATATTTTGACAAAGATAAATCCGCCAAAAAGAAGAAATGTTGGTAAAAATTAGAAGGAAATTGATTTCTATTAATATTTAATATTAATCAATTTTAACCAGCCAGATCACTGTCAAAACTAAAATTTTTGCCAGAGCTAATTTATGCTTTTAGATTAATTGCTCCAATTATTTTACCCTAGTATAGGAATTTTTGTACAAGTTACAAGATTTTTAATGAAATTCCACTTTTTTGGTTCTCATTTGCTTTTTAAAGTTATTAAAATACATATGAATGATTAAAATAATTCAGGAAACAGCAAAAATAAATGTGAACGAGACGTTATGTGCTTAGTGGTTATGACACGTAATGTATGACGAAACTTTTGACTTTAATCATTGAAGTGACGAAGGTACTGACTAAAGGTAGTTATTTAGTTTCTCACCAAGGGCCATTATGTCGATTTGGCGAAAGTAAAAAGTGTTGACAAAAGTAAAATTGATTTTTTTTGTTTTATATATATGTAAGACATCCCTTAATTACAGAGAATAAATATTCCGAGTAAAATTATTTTGAAGACAAGAATCTAAATAATTGTTGGTTGATAATATATTTTAATAAAAATTAGATCTAATTTTTACTTGTTTTGCCAATGACTTCAATGATTTTGATTTTCATCAAGGGTTTAGTCATTCATCAAGGGTTTTGACTTTCGTCAAGGTTTAATCATTTTAATTTGTCATTTTTTAGTGCATTTGACGAAATAGTTTCTCAATTTTAGTGGCATGCATTAAAAAAAGTTAAAATGACATAAAAGCGCGTGTTTTTTTTTTTTAATCCCACTTTTTAACTTTTATTAAATAAATATAATAATAATAATAATAATAATGCCCAAAAGACAGCCACAAACTAAAAAAGAATCTCAAAGTAATAATAGTTCAGAACAAAACGGGTAAGCCTATTATTATAAATAATTATTTTCACGCGTCTTAGGATTATTATTATTATCATCATTATCATTTAATAGAGAAGATATGGTTCAAATGTTTTCTGTTTTCCAAAGTAAGTTTATTAAAAGGAGGAATTGTAATGATAATAGTAATATAATATAAAACAACAATAATTGTTGTTGTTGTTGTTGTTGCTGCTAGTACGTATGGAAAAGAAAGTAAGGGATAGACAAGAAAAGCTTGAAAATGATTGCAATAAAACAATGCAACAAATGAGAAAGTTGACTCAAGAACTTGTTTCAAAACAAAAACAAGAAATGTAATTTATATTTATTTATTTATCTTAATTAATTGATTTATACTTATTCTAATAATACACCCGATTATATAGAGAAATGAAAGTTAACAAATATAAGAATCAATATCAAGAATATAAGGAAGAAAAAAACTCAATTTTAGAAAGATTGAAATCGGAAAATTTAAAATTATTGGTAAGAAAACATTTGTATAATAACATTTCTATCATTGTTATTATTATCAACTAATTAAAATAACATCATCAAATCACAGCAAAATTATAAATCAATCGTTAATGAATTAGCAAGAGTTGAAATGTCTCAAATGAAAGAATTCCAAATATTTGAGAAAAAATATAATTCATTTATTGAAGAGATTGAAGCAATTCAAAATGAATAATCCATTGACAAACTACATATATATATATATATATATATTAATATATGCACAAATAATAATATCAAGATATATAAATAACTAGAATATTTTAATAAGTAAAAATATTATTTTTTTAACCTGATATTTGATCCGGATGTCTTGCAGCTTAATCACTTGTTGCTTGATGTTTTGATGTATAACATAAATTTCTCCAAAAAGGTATTTTTTTAAAAAAACCATTATATTGCATGTTCTTAATGAATATATAGAGTTGGAAATTGGTTGTCAAAAAAAGTCCAGAATAAAAAAAAAACGGGGCAAGAAAATGAGGAGGAGGGAAAAAGGACAGCTAACATAACATGTTAATCTTCCAACTATATATAATGATAGAATAAATCAAAATTATTAAAGTTGACTTTACATATCGATTTAATTTAAATATCATTCGCTATTTTGCATCAGACCTAGTCGGGTCACTCCCTCTTCCATCTGAAATTAATCATTTTGGGAACCCTTAAAGCAACACTTTATGACTCGTTTAGCGAACGAAGCCTTGTGTTGGCATGCATAGCCAACACTCCCCAGATGGAAATATTTCAACTATATCTGGGAATATGAAGCAGAATGAAATTTCCTGCCACTTTTCATCCAGTACTGGTAGCAGTTGTGGTGAAGGGTTGAAAATAAGGTCTGAAAAAAAAAATGGAAATTCCTCTTGAATGCTAAGAATTTTCCGAAAGAAAAATTTAACAAATTTTTACACATAATCCTACCCCAATTAACCTATTGTTAATTTAAAGCTAGCCTGCCACCTTTAAAATAATTAAATAGGCATAATTAAATAAATCTATCTAAATAATTATACAAAAAGATAACATGCTAAAGGCAAAAATTTTCCCACTTAGCACCAAAAAATATGAAATTCTGACACCACTCTTCCCATTTGTCAGAATGTATAGCATAATGAAAATTGGATGAAGTGACTTGAAAATGTTTTATTTTGTAATTACATTTTCTTATTTTTTATTCTGATTTTAATTCTTTTAACTTTAACTTGATTTGCTGATTTGTTTTCATCAACGTTTCTTGTTGGTAAAACACAATCCGTTTCTGTGGTTGAGTTACTTTATGAGTGCTTTTATGAGTTTATGATAATATTTCAACATGTGTATCTGGTAAAACTATTGTGAATAAGAATCTGTGAACATCTTTTTATACAGATTGAGATTACAAAGATCACTTACCTTAAATTTCTTCACTGATTTGATAACATTTTCGATTTGTAATAAACACATATTTTCCCCTCCCCCAACTTGAGAGAAATTAAAAGCGCTACTCTTTAAAATTTTACTTGACAAACTTAACAAACTCCAAACTCTAAAAAACTCAAATTTTAGTTGGATGAATCCATCAACAACTTTACAACTAAAAACCGGTCATATAGACCTTTTTACACAACAAAAAAACAAAAACAATGTTGGATTGGATACATCCACTCACACAACACCAAATTAAAAATGGATAGCTGAAAAGATGAAAAATTTCAATAATGAATGTTTTTCGCCTTCCTTGATGGATGTATATAATAGTGAAAAAAAGTGGGCGAATATAATAAATGATTTGTGTATGATAATATGCTCGAGGTGTTGCAATTTGGCCACCTGTTTAAAAGTCAAAAGAACTCGTAATGGCTGCTCAAAGATTTGATCGGTTCAATGATTTTTCCTTTATTTATCAGATCAACATAATATTAAAAAATTTATTTAACTACATCGTATGGCAATCTTTGAGAAATCTCATTAAGTGATGATGACTCTATAAAAAGAGTTGGCAAAGGCGGTTGGAATGAATTCAAAGCATTAACCTTAGAAAATAAATTATTTTCATTTTGCAATAAATTTTGGTCGATTGATCAGTATATAGATTTTTCTTATGATTGGTCAGAAGTAAATGCTGACTCAGCATTGATAATGAAATCTATTATACTACTTTCAACTAATAATATTTAACAAACATGCTTGCTTTTACAAATGTATTTTTTATGAATTATTCACTGGGATTTTCCCTGGTTTTACTTTATTATAAAACTTACAAGAACCAGGTGACGCAATAAAAGTATTTCTCAGAGGTTCCATATTAACACCTACTTTAATGGAACACACGCGCGTCAAGAATATCTTTGCAATTAATTATTAAAAAAACAAGGAAGAATTGTATTACAGTTAATCATGACGTCGAGCAAATTTTATTTAAATGAATCTTTCGAAATAATAATTTGCCAAAGTTTTCCTATATTGTGATTACGATATCTATATTGCATTGTTGTCACATAGAGATTGATACCGTCTTGGGTGTTGCAAATTTCAAAGAATACATAAACGTGTAATGATGAAATAAATATGAAAAATGTTGGTTCCACCAGAGTTTCCAGCTGCTCTAGAGAGCATCAATCTTTCTTTTGGCTAATACTAATGATGTCAAGCAGCAGAAAATTTTCCCCGTCCCACAATTTTTTGTACATATCACATGACCAATTTTTTTCGCCACAAATAGGGATGTCGTTAGTTCAGCTTAACTCAGTTTAGAGTTCAAGCAGTTTTAAAAACAGACTTTTGACCAGTCAAATTCTAAATATGAACATAGTTATATAAATATTCTTAGGCATGCATGCTAAATTAGAGCTAAATTTACTCAAATGGTTTAGCTCCCAATCTGCCAACAATATCAAGTGTTACATTTTAGCAATTCATATTTTTATCGTTATATATATATATATATTAATATTCTTTTATTTACCGTTAATTTTCTTGAGCATGTGCTTCAAACACATATTTGAAGTGCGTTTAAAGCAGATATTAAAAACATTAGTGGTTAAACTCGGTTTAGTTATGCTCTACCAAAGAAAATTAACGTCCTTACTCACAAAGCATCATAAAATTTATTAAAATTTTAAAATAAAGCACATCAATTCGTTACCTGAAACTTGGAGCCAAGAAAGGTGAACAGAAAAAGATATATATTTAAAAGATAAATGACCAAATAAATTAAAGGCTGAAAAATTTATCAGAATTAGATTTAGAGCACCCACCTACTCCATCTGAAGCCGGATCAACAACATCACCCAGATCTCACCGAAAGAAAAGTTTCGTCAGAAAACAGGCCTTGTTTTTCTTTTTTTTGTTATTTATGCAAACACTAATTCCCATACATAATAATAAATAATGTTACATTCTTTCATTAGCTCATAATATTGTAACGATGAATGTGACAAGTGAATTTTATGAATCTTTAATAAGACTGTTAATAATGAAGATAATGAGTGTTTTGATACAGCTAATATATCCCTAATGTCACGAGAGAGATAATAAAAATATTCGGAAAATACATAATAAATATCCAAAACCTGGAATTATTTCAAAGATGACGGAAATAGCATTGACTGTAAAGTATTGAATTGTGACGCTAGATATTCAAGGAATTCTTTTTTTTTGGAAAAAAAGCCAATCAAAAAACAGTCGTTGAATTGTTTGAGAGGATTAAGGAACGAAATCCCTATCATAGTCATTTAGCATGTACATAGGTAAACTCGATAAGTCGGACACAAATGGCTGGACATGGTGTCCGACTTATCAAAATATGCAATTTTACAA